TAGAGGTCATAACTGAAAAGGGTAGAGTGACAAGACCCCTTGTCAAACTAGTACCACTACCACCCTATACCACGGATAACGATGAAACTATGGCGTCTGTATAAATCCATACGAAAAAAAAACCCTTCCACCTACCACACCTTTCCATATTGAATTGAAATTCAAAAATAAATTTGCATACTTAATGAAATTGAACCATTAAGACGATAGTTACATTTAGACACACACTGTTCAATAAATTTGGTAGAAATTGCTAGGAATTTTTTCATGTCGTTAACGTTTTCGTATGCGAAAACAACTTGCCAATGAGAAGAATCGCTAATTGTACATATTGCTATTTCAAAGACGTAAACAACATGAAATTAAAACCAATTCTAGCTATACCGAATGAGAAGTAACGTACTTAATGTTTAAATTTCATTAATTTTTTCCATCTACGTATGTAAATTTATTTCACACAATCACATTGCACCAGTCACCATGGAACGGCCCGCGAACAGAGTAGGCTGGTTTACATTAATAATACAATAGGAGAACATAGAAACATTTTAATTGTAAAGCACTTACCCCCTTTTTCCTTTCGTCTCTTCCGATCTTTTTTCTTTGGTCGTCTGGTGGCTGGTTCTGCTCCAAAGAATTCACCTTCCACTGGGCATTGTGGATAGCGCATATTGCCGGCCGTCCTGGCTGCATCTGCAACACCATTCCTTCGATGCGTTAATCCATGTCCTGTGCTGCACATTCTTTTATAAACAAAAAAAAAAAAAACAGCTTTAAGCAAATCCCCGTAGTAATTTCAAACGCATTCACCCGTCATACATATACACGTATTAAATTTCTTTCGATATTTCCAGCTCAAAGTATTTGCCGGCGAACGCAATTTATTTCATTTCATTTTAAATTACACACATTAGTTATCTGTAACCCAGTACAGTAGCGCAGCAGCAATGACACAATGATACCAACACACTGTGTCAACACACAAGCATACGCGCCATTGACCATCCCTAAGGCAAAAGTATGGAATGTGCCAAAATTGTGCCGTTCATGCGTTGAGCTGCACTTCATACATACATATGTATGTATGTATGTACATATATACATACATGTACTGAAACTACAACTCTAAGGCAAAAGAATGGAATGTGCGAAAAATGTGCCGTTCAGGCGTTGAGCTGCATTTCAAACATCCATAAGTATATATGTATGTACATATATGCATACATGTACTGAAACTACGACGGTATAAAGGGGTTGTCAGACGTTGTAGTGCAATATTTTTGACAAAACTTGCAGCAGAAGTGAAAATTGCTAGGGAAACACGAGCAAGTTGAAATATATTTTTCGAAATCGATTTGCACTCTTTTCAGTCACACTTCGCAATGTTTATTTCTTCGCATGTAGAAATAAATTTTATCCTTCCCGTCTGACACACCCTTAACGCGAACAACTAGTACAACATGTACATATGTATGTACATATTTGTATATATAAGGCACTTTTACACAGAACTTTACGTGAATTAAATATCGCACCGGTACTTCGGTACCTATGTTTCTACATATGTACATATGTTTTATTACGCACGTTTTTCTTCAGGTTCGAATTAACTTTAATTTACGCATTTTTAACAATAATTTTCCGCCTTTATTCCTTCATTGAGGCACTGTTTTTTGTTTTCGCATATTTGTTTTGGTTGTATGTACATTCGCACTACTTACACATTTAATTACCTGGAGTTACCAATTTATTTTCACGGGGCTGCTTCAAACACCAACGGGTTGTTTTTTATTTGGCTTCACTCGCGCCGCTTTTTTATGGTTTTTGCCAATCCACAAGCACAAATATTTTACCGGCACCGCACAACCGCACAACCGCACTTGTCGTAAACACAATATATATAACCTTGTTTGTGAATGACAGGCGGCCATTCACGGAAGTAGGTTCTACTATCGATAACATGAGAAATAAGTTCGATACTTTACAGAGTTACCTTGAGAGTATTTACACTCGGGCTGCACTTGCAAGTTCCTGTACCCAGTCCGCGTAAAATTTTGCGCAAATTAGCTTGCATTGCATTAGTTGGCATTGATGTGATTGCAGTAAATGAAATTATGTGTGCTTTTTTTTCATATAGAGGGGGTGGGTAGTAATAAATAACACATAATTATTTATTATTATCTATTTTTCAATTGCATAAGTTTTTCATTGATGCAATTTAATGCGAGCACAGAGACTGACGAAAAAGAAAAAAAAAAAATGATAATTGCTACATAGTAATTTGTTTCCACCATACTTTTCGTGCCATCTCCATGTCAGGTAATAAACCCACGTACCTCTTGCAACCCTGTTGTACCAACCATAAAGGCATGTATGCACGGTCAAACCACCTATCAATCATTAAGGGGTCATAACACTGTGCACTTTTAGTCAAAGTTAGCGAAATTACGAAAAGTTGGAAAAACCTTTAGTTTGTTTCCCATATTGCTCGCCATTCCAAAATCGATCATTTTTGTCGGTGCGCTACATACAAGATTATTTCAGAAGATGACTCGCTTCACTAATGTACGCAAACAAGCTGAGGCAAATAATTACCCGCTGACGTGCAGATTATGCAGTAAGAAGCATCCCTTAAGAGTATGCCCAATATTTCGTGCCAAAAGGCCAGAAGAACGCCTGCGTGACGTTCTGATTCATCGCTACTGCACGAATTGTTTATCGGGGATACATCGTGCAGCCCACTGCACTAACCCAGGGAGATGCCGACGCTGTAATGAAGAACACCACACGATGCTTCATATTGATCACACGAGCGATGGATCCAGACGTCAGCGGCGACCAACGCGGCCAATGAACGACAGTGATAGTGATGATGCGCTTTCATTAGATGCGTCTGAGGTCGGAGCGGAAACTAATGCTTTCCGCCCAGACCTGGAAGAGGAAGAAATGCCAGTAGCTGGAGCGGAAACTAACGCTTTCCGCCCAGATGAATCCACCGGAATGGAGTCAAACGCACTCCATCCGGATTCGGTAAGCGGATTGGAAACGAGAACTTTCCAACCGCGAAACAATTGGTACCGCACTCAAACTCGACGTTTCAACCACCGCCCACGGCGTCAGCGTCACAACGGGAGAGTGGAATCTCATGCATTCCACCTCCCAGCAAGAAATGGTTTTCGGTCTGGGCAAGTGCAGGCCCCTATGAATCCGCTACAACAACTTACCGCAGTTGCGCCTACAGCCATAGTGAGGGTAGAAGCAGGAGGCCGCTTGCACCTGGTAAGAGCGTTAATAAACCCGTGTGCCGCAACGTCCATTATCGCACTAGACCTTGCGCAAGAGCTGAAGCTCTGTTTAACGGCAGTCGGAAATCAAAGAGGGTGTTTTATGAAGCTACGCGGAAAGCACGGAAATTCCGCGACAATTACATTGCACGCGGTGGCCGTACGGAACTACCGGCAACAAACACCTTTGAAAAGCATCGATGCCACGGTCGCAGCACCGTACAACAACATAAAGCTCGCCGAT